GTTGAAACATGCTTGGTATGTTGGATTGTAACATTGATAAAATGATGAATTGTATTGATATCCAAACGCTATAAAAAGGAAAGCAGAATAATAAACTTTTTAAGAGTTTTTAACAGAGCTCGGACGAGTACAAGTACAGCAAGTAAAAGTATTTTACTTGTACTTTAAAAAACGTACTTCTGCTTTTACTTGCCTTTTCACAAGTATACTTACCCCTATACTTGTACTTGTACTTAAGTACGAAAAAAATACTTTTGTACTTGTACTTAAGTACTAGAAAAGTACTTGGTTTTTACTTGATGTGAAATTAAATAAATTTCGTCAGGAAGGTTGACTACTATGGGAATACTCTTCGGTCCTTATGTCCTATTATTTGAAAGTACTTTGGGTATTCATGCCCTATTATTTCAAGATACCCTCAGGTCCTCATCTCCTATTATTTGAAGATACCCTTACGTCCTCATGTCCTATGATTTGAAGATACTCTTGAGTATTCATCTCCTATTATTTCAAAACACTCTTAGGTCCTCATCTCCAATTACATAGAGATACCCTTAGGCCCTCATGCCCTATTATATGAAGATACCCGTCGCTTCTCATGTCTTATTATTTGAAAGTACTTATAGGTCCTCACCTCATATTATATGAAGGTGTCCTTAAGTCCTCGTGCTTTTTTTAAGGGTGCCCATAGGTCAACAGAGGGATGTAACAGTGCTAACAATTCGAATAGCAATACTAAATGCTATTGATGATATTGATATCGGTATTTTACAAAGGAAAATTAAACTTGAAAATTTCAATAAATTAATGATAGATTCATATTCCTTGCTCCCGAAAGCTGTTGTTCAAACTTTAGATATCACCGCTATTTTTCCAAAAAAGTCCTTTCATTGACGAAAAAAGCTAGGATCTAAAATTTGAGAGATTAATTTTAAGTTCTTCATTTTTTCGTCAGGGAAGGCTTTTTTTCAGAAAATAAGGGTTTTTTTTATGAAGTTTAATCAAAGTTTGGCGGAGTCGAGGAATCCGAAACTGTCATTAGTTTTTCGAAATTTTCAAGTTTGATTTTTCGTTGCAAATTACCGATACCAATACTACCAATAGCATTTGGTATTGGTATTGGAAGTATTAGCATTGCTATATCCCACTGTTGACCTATGGATACCATTATATCATAGGACTTGAGAGTACTTCCATATAATAGGACATGAGGACGTAAGGGTATCTTCGCTCACGCTCATGAACGCTCATGAACGCTCATAAACGCTCATATGAGCGTGAGCGAAAAACGCTCATGTGAGTGCTTATGAGCGTGAGCTATACACCCTAAAGTAAAATAACCAAGTATTTTTTCCATACTTATATATAAGTACGAAAGTATTTCTCTCGAAGTACAAGTATAAGTGCAAGTTTCTTTCTCAAAGTACAAGTAATTTACTTTTTACTCGAAAAAATGCGACAAGTAAAAGTACATGGACTTTCGTCCTAGCTCTGGTTTATGAAAATGCAATGTACTGTAAACCCTGTTTCAATCGTATGTCCAACTTTTCGCAAATCCTTTCATAAACTCTTTTATAATGGTTCATGAAAGGGTATTTTATTTTCATAAACTGTTTCATATACCCTTTGCAAAGATTAATTAAACGGTATTTGAAGGTCATAATCTTCGAAGGATTTATTATACGTTACACTTTTATAAACCCTTATCGGGTGGTCCAGATAAAATCGGACACTTTTATTTTGATCATATCACCTGTTCCTTTAAAGATATAAGGTCAGATTTGTCTCCCAGTAGATTCTCCGAGGAGCTCTCTATAAAACTGTCAATTTTATTTAACGCAAAAGCTTCTGTCA